TGAATACTGTTGACTACAGTATTAATTTTTAATATGCCTATGTACTACAGTCTGTAGTACATAGGCCTATTAATGATAAAGGAACAAAATGTAGATGTGTTGTATCAGTAATAAAAGGGTCTCCGGTTCTCTACACTCACCATACAAAACATCATCAACCTACTATTTCACGTTGATATTCTGTCCGAGCGTGGTCCTTACCGGTCAAACCGAAGCCGAGCAGTCATTATATGTGTCATTTTTAGTTTTTAGAGCCACACTGCAGCTTGGCTCAACCACATAGAAGACAATAAATCAGTACTTACTTGTATGTTTATTATACTATTTGGTAGTGCCATTTTCACTGCAGTGTAGAAGGTGAGAGAGACAGCTATACCTATTGTACAATAACAGCTACGATCCATCTTACTGGTCCTCATTGGTGACAATGCTTCTGTGGCTTTGTTACTACAACAACAGCCACTTACCAACAAGTGGACAAATAGTTCGTTTGTTATTTTAATTATAAAGAAAATTTCACAGTACTTCATTCATACATACGAGTATGCGTATGGCACTAATGAAATTGTTAATTGCAATTTTAAGTACTGATTTACCACGTGCTCGGCGGCGAAGGGAAAGATCGTGAGCAAACTTGCATGGCTGAGATTTAAAAAAATATATTTTAAAGACATGTGAAGTTCGCCAACAGGCATTGGGGCAGCCCAGTGGCCACTTCCTAGCCCTAAAACCCTCTCAGGAATGAATGGAGACCTGTGTCCAGCAGTGGGACATAAATATGGTGCGACTTTACTTTTTACTTATTATGAGACTCGTGCAATAAACATAGATGCGCTATTCATGGAGAAAATATTAAGCCTGACAAAAACGCAGTGAAATGGAAGATTGTGTCTACACGCGTTAACTAAATAGACAGCGCATAATTAATGAGGCGTGTGTGTTTATAAATGTCCAATTTTATTAATTTGTTTACCTCGCAACTATACGAGTATATAGTCCTCAGTCTGAATTTTGTCCTCAAGACGATACTTCATCAGGTAAGTTTAGATTTATACACAACTTTTATCTGAGTAGTAATGATATAAAAATATAACAGTTACTGACGGTTTGTCTTGTATATTCCCGCCTTGTATATTCATAAACCAGTTACTGTTGTTGGTAACAAGTCCTTTTCGTTGTCCTGTACGAGTAACGTAACATCATCTATATTGCAGTGTTGCAGAACTTTTTAACGTCATCCACTAACTACGAATATGTTAGTTGGTCGCGTACCGAAACCCTTCCTAGCATCCCTTCCTATTTGCAATGAAAATAATATTTCAATGTTGTTCAATATAGTTACAAGTCTCGTTAATTAATACTCCATTAAGCTCAGACAACAAAGACAGCTCGACGGAGTATTGTGTATATTTCAAGTGATGTCAAAACCATGCTCAACTATTGACACGCACTCACGCACACATCTTTCTTCTATATTTCTATACTGCGTTATGTTTTTTATCTTTTGGATGTATATAATTAAGTTGCACTTGTGCGTGTCTCATTACAAGTTCAGCATGGTTTTGGCTTAGTTTTGGCGTCAATTGAATGTCTATCTTTCTTTATTGGTCTGAGCCATTATCTTTATATTATATAAAAGAGGTGCCCTGAGTGACTGACTCGTCTACCAACGCACGGCCCAAACCGCTAGACTTAACCGTAGCTGTCTTTTATCCTGTAAGAAACTGGCGGCTCTGTGGCGCAGTGGCTTAGCAATCAGTTGTTGCGCCGGGGTCGCGGGTTCGAATCCCGCACGGAACAAGTATTTGTATGGCTTACAATTAATTGTACCGGGTCTGGATGTTTGTCCTCGTGCAATTTATGTTTGTAAACTGCCTCTACGATACAGGAGAAAATCCTAGTGTGGGGGTAAAATTATTTATTTTTATTTAATTTAATAATAACAAAAAGGATTTTGGACAATTCAACTCCTGAGGCGGTGTAATAATGTGTTACAGTTCGTATGAAACTTTTTATTTTACTGAGCGATTGACTCGAAACTTATTTAAATGTACTGTGTAATAAACAAATGATTTAAGATTTAGCGATTTTTCAAAACAACCCCTTACAGGCAGGATGTTCAAATATGTACGGAGAAAATTTAATTAATTATTTTTTAATTCGCAAAATTGGTGATTTAGTTCCTTTAAAAATTTTAAAGTCCTCAAACGTAGGTGAAAAGTTCGTATGAAAAATATTGTACAGACGGACTTCTAAACGGAAAAGAACTCCAATCACCTAATGGTTATTTTGTGTTTTATTTCGTTTTTGGTATGTTACATAATATCATAATAGTACTAGATTCTAATGAACATCGTCCTTCACCGTCACCCACCTACAAAAATTATTTTGTATCAAACAAGTATTTACTTATTAAACAAATATAAAGCAGATTGTTTACCTGATAAAATATTTTCATGGCTACCCCAAATTTAGAGCACTGTAATTTTTTTCGAACCTCAGGGGCTTAGGGCTAGCTGTAAATTTCACAGTACGCGAGGAACGCAAGTTCGATCAACGCCGGCACCAATAAAACTGTTAATTGCAATATTAATTGCTGATTTACCACGTGCTCGGCGATTAAGAAAAACATCATGAGGAAACCTGCATGTCTGAGAAACTGAAAAAAAGTTCGAAGTCATGTGAAGTTACCAACACGCATAGGGGCAGCGCGGCGGATATTTCCTTGCCCTAAAACCGTCTCAGAAATTGGTAGGAGGCTGGTTCCCTGCTGTGAGACATATATAGGATGCAACTTTAAATTTATTTATTTTTAATTTTTTTTTTGCTTACCAAGCAAATTAATGACCATCAAAATTACAAAGGAGAAAATAGGGGTCATGGAATTCTATTCCTATTACTGGGTTATTTTGATTAGTTAGTTATTTTGAACCATATAGTTTTATCAATTTACAGCAACTCTGGTTATCCAGCTCGGAACCCAACGAACACATGAATGATGAAAACAACCGCCCCAACTGGCGCGCGCGCCTTAACTTAACCACTTTGATACGCGGTAAAAAACCGACACCAGATGAAACGCCCGCTCTACGTTTGAGCTATGGAGTGTAGAGTAGAAGGAGAACCATCTTATAAGGTGCGAAAGTTGAAAAAGTGTCCCCCTATATACTGAAAATAGAGGTTCCAAAACCTACCACAATAGCGCTGGCGTCTGAAAAACTACGATATGAAGATAGCTGTTGTGAACGGAGCGAAGTCAGCTGAAATCAAATATTTAAATAATTTCATCATTAGAGTAGTTAGTAAAATGTCAGTATACAAAATCTCAACTATTTACGTAGTACAAAACCAAGCGGATTGGTTGGTCCTTGTTTATTTCTCCATCTTACTCTAAATACTTTTGGCGCTTCTTTTTTAATTTATCCTATGCTACTGCAGCGCCACCCTTATTGGACACGTTTTTAGGGACACTTTTCGTATATAGAGATGGTCCTCCTTGTACTCTACACTCCATAGTTTGAGCGTTCCAACGAACAATTTGGCGCGCGTTCCAAGGCGGTATCCATTTCGCGCGGCTGGAACGCGCGCCAATGTTCGACCTCCTGGAGTGCATAATCGATACGTGGCTTAACACAACCTAATTTTTGTCGCAAACACGGCTTGCGCGAAAATGTTCATGAATTACGGCCTGGTCGTGAAATTAAAAAAAAGGTGAAAGCAATGATGTGCGTGCCAAAAAGGAAAAGTTTTTACAGCGGTTGCACTCCTTCTCCATCAAAGTTCACCTCACATATTTTATTTTTTGAAGTCCTAACTGCAATCCCAACGCAGTTCACCACTTTGAAATTGACAAGCCGCACTTATCCTTCTTGACTTCTTGACTGAGACGCAGATCAGATGTCTTCTTAATGCGGACACCGGAAGGATAAAATATCGATCGGTACCGATCGCGCAGTGGTGACCAGTAGACCATTACTACTTTTGAACATATCAGTGAGGCCTCTGAAGTGACCCTAAATCGGTACCCTACTGAACAGCTGAGTTTTATGGCGAACTTTATTGACTGTCTTCAGGCCTGGCTGTTCCCATACCAGACGACCGACCTCGCTGGGAGAGAGGCGTGGAATTATGCCTTGTCACTGGGGCTCTCCTAGTTTGGTAAAACAAACGACTAGAGTAACCAATATGGACTTCATAAGTTACTTACTTATTACTAATTATGTAAGAAGAACATAAATAAATTGTGTTTAATATAATCATTACAAATATTTAAATTTTCGGTAGCCATGAACACATTATTTCATTAGGTAACTCATCCGTGATGTATTTACGTACTTAAATACCTATTTTATATATACAAATAAATAAAATTAAAGTGTCTGTCTGTAATGTCTAAATAACAGCTTTTTACTAAATGCATATGAAATTATACACGGTATTTATAACAAAAAAGAATTAAAAATGTTTGTCTGTCTGTCTGTTTGTTCCGACCGATTTTGACGGAATTTTCACTGGCAGATAGCTGATGTTATAAGGAGTAACTTAGGCTACATTTATTTCAGAAAAAGATTTAGGGTTTTGCGCAAAAAAATTAAAACCCTGAAATCCAATCGTAATAAATCCCACACGTAACCACGTCGCGGGGAACAGCTAGTAATACAACAATTATGTACCTATCCCTCGATAATAATCAAACGTGAAAGCACGTTTGCACAGAATACCAGCATAATGTTGCTGTATGTGTTTCGTATGAGTGACATGAACCGGAGACCATTTTTACTGGTAATGAGACATTCCATCTTGCCCTCAGGGTGACAGCTAATCTGCATTTTGATTCTTAATCGAGGTCAGATATACGTGTCTATGAACCACAGCATTCACTGACCATCATGTAGACTGTGTGCTTGTTTGTGTTCCCTCCTTATTAAAAAAAATGAAATATTTTTGCGCTGATGAGAAATAGTTTTAACCGTGCCTTAATACTACGTTGATTTACAGATATGGAAGTTAAGAAGAAAATCCAGTCTCTTTACGATATCATAGACACAAAGTTCTTTGAACATTTCAAGTTTCATATCCGAGATACGAGCTTTCGCAAAATCATTGATTATATGCACGAACCAAAAGATGCTGCGAGCTTGGCGATAACCAGGATATTATTCGGTATGTGAATTTATTGTATTATAGTACATATCCTCATAACTTTAGTAGAGTTCATCTAAAATTTCTCATCATTCGTAATCATCTTTACACTGAAATGTTACGGCTATAATAAACAGGTTACAATTAGTGCAACTGTAAGTGTATAACTGTAATATTTCCATCAATTCTACCTACATTTACAAACCATATAGAATATAGTCATAGTAATGTCTTAAGTAACGTCCGATACTATCCTGAAAATATCTCGAACATCAAATTAGGAATTCGAGTATTTAAATAAAACTGTTTTTTACGGATTTTATATAGGACAAACTAAAAGATCAATAAAAACCCGCGTTAAAGAACACATAGCTGATGTAAAGAATACAGGCTCCGGGGAGTCTGTAGTCTGTGAACACGTACAGAATCTCCCTCGTCACTACATTAGATTTGATAGACCACAAATCCTCGCTGAAGAACACCGTTTCCTTCCAAGGACGATTCACGAGGTTATTGAAATCAAAAGAACATCTTAATTTCAATAGAGAAGGTGGCTGGGTGCTACCATCTGCTTGGGATCCTATCTATACAAATAAATAAAATTGAAGTGTCTGTTTGTAATGTCAAAATAACAGGTTTTAACTAAATACATATGAAAGTATATACGGAACTTATAACACATACAAAATGGGGATAACAACTAATATTTGTTAAGGAAATAACATTTTAATTTATACTTTATGTTAACTTCATTAATATCACTTTTAAATTTATTATTCAGACCATTTATTAAGCGAGGTATTATGTATGCACTGGTGCGCTCACCATATTTATTTTTGGATGGTATTGTTATTAATTTTTTTTGAGTTACTTTGCGGGTCTAAATTTTGTTTGAGACTGTATGTTGTATACCTAAATTAAAGAATTGTTCTTTTAACAGTTGATATTGGACTTTATCATGGATATTGAGTACCTTGCAGTGTTTAAATATAAAGTTTTCATTACTCCACTCCACTCCCACGGGCGGGGGCGCTCAGCCACGCCCCCTGGCAGGCGCTGCCGGCCACCGTGCCGCTGGGTTTGAACGGAATTCCGCTTTCCGGACCCCCGGTTCGAGGGCCGGCCCGATGGAGGCAGCTCCAGCTAGGTAGCTGCCGCCCTAGCTCCCACCACGGCCGCCTCCACTGAGCCTTTGAGCTGTCAACAGTCCACTTGTCAAACTGTTCTATTGCCGACGGCCTTAGTGAAGGTGTACAACCCGAGTGGCGACTGTTTAACGGTTCGCGCTCTACTGGATTTGGGTTCACAACGCAGTGTGGCCTCCACTTGGTTGGTGGGAAGACTAGGGCTCCCCTGGAGCTCTGAATAACGTCCAATGGTAGGTATCGGGGGTGCCGAACCTCCTGCTCCTAGGGGACAAGCCGAGTTGGTGTTTGGCCCTACCAGCGAACACCTTCACATTCTAGTTAAGGTAAATGTCCTCGATGACATTGTAGGTTTTCTCCCTAACATCCGTATAAATGACAGCGCGGTTCGTTGTGCTTCGGGTTTGAGACCGGCAGACCCTCAATGGTCCAAACCTGGGCCTATAGATTTGTTGCTGGGGGCCGACGCGCTGGGGTTGATCTTGTTAGGCGAAATAAGAGCCCTACAGCCCTATGGCTTGTCAGCCATGTCCACTGTATTTGGGCACAGCTTCTTTGGACCGGTTCTGTGGTCTCCACTTCCTCAGACGGCCGACACGCTCTCTGTTGTGGGCGTGTCCCTTTCGGAAGTCGTTCAGAGGTTCTGGGAAATTGAGGAGCCACCACACGCGGCTCGAGTCAACCCTCTGGACCGTGAGTGCGAGTTGTCCTACCAGAACAATACCGGCCGTCGCGTCGACGGTCGTTTCGTCTTTCGCTTACCTTTTCTGGACTCACGGCCCCCTTTGGATCGATCTCGTGCACTGGCCGAGAAGAGGTTGCTTTCCATGGAGCGCCGCATGCGGCGCGACCCAGCCTTTCGCGACAAATATGTCGAGTTCATGCGCGAGTATCAAGAGCTGGATCACATGTCACCGTCCAACTTCGAATGGCGTTCACAGGAGCATTACTTCCTCCCTCACCATGCGGTCTTGAGAGTAAGATTCGGGTAGTTTTGGACGGCTCCGCCCCCTCGTCAAATGGTGTGTCCCTGAACCTGTGTCCACTCTGGTCCTAAATTGATCGAGGACATATCCGACATTTTGACCCAATTCCGTCGGTACCAAGTGGTTTTTGTAGCCGACATTCGAATGATGTTTCGACAATCAGTGATCCATCGTGATGACCGTCGATATCAGCTGATATTGTGGCGCGAGAAGCCCAGCGATCCGATACAGGTGTTTGAGTTGAACACCACCACCTATGGACTCTGGTCCAGCCCGTATATCGCCATGCGAACCCTCCTTGAACTCGCTGAGAGAAACTCGATCCCCCTCCTAAAGCATGGACCAAGCGCTCCGTGCTGTCTACAGTAGCCCGCAATGGATGGATCACTCCGGTCATATTTTTGGCTAAGTGCTTTCTACAAAAGCTCTGGATATCCGGGTTGGGTTGGGACGAGCCTATTAGCGGAACTCTCTTACGAGAGTGGCTCTCCATTGTCTCCTCCCTTCTGGACATCAACCGGGTCTCCATGCCTAGGTGCTTCTTCCCTCCAGGGAAATGCAGGGCTACCCTTGATGGGTTTTGCGACGCCTCTGAGAAAGGCTATGCTGCTGTCGTATATTTGCGGACTGTGAGCTCTTCTGCTCATACTGCAGTCCATCTCGTACTTGCTAAAAGCAAGGTTGCTCCCATTAGGTCCCGCTTAACTATCCCTAAATTGGAACTGTCCAGAGCCGCTCTTCTCACGTGACTCCTCAACCGCGTTCACTCGTCTTTGACGGCTGTAATCGACATTACGCTGTAAGATACGCTCGGGGGGCTTCTATTTTGGAGACTTCGGTCTACATGGACGACATTTGCACGGGCGCCTCCACCGTCGAGGAGGCTCTTGTATTACGAGACGAGTTGATTGCCATCCTGAAGTCCGGATGTTATGAGTTGCGAAAATGGTTGTCGAACTCCCCTCATATTTTGAAGGACCTCCCAGGAGAAGATCAACAAGACCCTCAACTATTCGAGTACCCTGAAAATCCTAATTTGTTGACTGTGCTGGGCATTCAATATCAGCCTGTGCAGGATACTTTCACGTATCAAGTCAAACTCGATCCCCCTCCTAAAGCATGGACCAAGCGCTCCGTGCTGTCTACAGTAGCCCGCAATGGATGGATCACTCCGGTCATATTTTTGGCTAAGTGCTTTCTACAAAAGCTCTGGATATCCGGGTTGGGTTGGGACGAGCCTATTAGTGGAACTCTCTTACGAGAGTGGCTCTCCATTGTCTCCTCCCTTCTGGACATCAACCGGGTCTCCATGCCTAGGTGCTTCTTCCCTCCAGGGAAATGCAGGGCTACCCTTGATGGGTTTTGCGACGCCTCTGAGAAAGGCTATGCTGCTGTCGTATATTTGCGGACTGTGAGCTCTTCTGCTCATACTGCAGTCCATCTCGTACTTGCTAAAAGCAAGGTTGCTCCCATTAGGTCCCGCTTAACTATCCCTAAATTGGAAATGTCCAGAGCCACTCTTCTCACGCGACTCCTCAACCGCGTTCACTCGTCTTTGACGGCTGTAATCGACATTACGGACGTCTACGCTTGGTCGGACAGTGAGATAGTACTTTGTTGGCTCAGAGCTGCACCTCACAATCTTGAGATCTTTGTGGCGAACCTCGTGTCTCAAATCCAGAGTTCTGAGACTTCTCTAAACTGGAGACATGTCCCAGGGGAGTTGAATCCCGCAGACGGTGCTTCTCGCGGCTGTGAAGCCCCCTCGTTGGTTGACCACCCGCTGTGGTGGGGTCCCAGTTGGTTGACTGAGTCTCAGTCATTCTGGCCCCAGGGTAAATCCGAATCGACGGAATTGCCTGGCCTACGAGCCCGAGTAGGAGTGGCAAGGATAAGCCCACTCGGGATCTCTCCCTTCTAGAACGGTACAGTTCTCTCGATAAGCTCTTAGGAGTGACTGCTTGGTAGCGCCGATTTGTCCGCAATTCGAGAGACCCGTCCAATCGAATCTCTGATTCCGTTTTGTCCCCTAGCGAGCGTCGTGAAGCTTTGATGCATTGGACCCGTATGGTCCAAGCGGAGCATTTTGAGCCCGTGATTGAAAACTTGAAGCGGGGCTCCGTTCTCAAGGGCGCTCTGGCCCGTCTGAACCTCATCCTGGACGACGCTGGGATGCTGCGCGTTGGCGGACGTTTGAAAAATTCTCAACTGCCGTACGGGGCTTGACACCCGTTACTGCTCCCTAAGGACGGCACCTTTGTCCGGTTGCTGGTAACCCACCATCATGTTAAGAATGCCCACGCTGAGTGTAACGCTCTTTCGGCTATTCTGCAGCGGGAGTTTTGGATTTTGACTGGCCGACGCACCATTCGGAGCGTCATCTTTAAGTGCATACCTTATTATAAACTGAAGGCCACCATATCGCAGCCTATGATGGGTGACTTGCCACCCGACTGCGTCAGGGCCATCCGACCATTCGCTGGAGTCAGAACAGACTTTGCTGGCCCCTTCCTCGTCAAGTCCTCCAACCTTCGTAACGCGCGTTCACATAAGGCCTATCTTTGCGTCTTCGTGTGCCTCTCCACTAAGGCCGTTCACTTAGAACTTGTAAGTGCCCTCAGCACTGAAGCCTTCTTTGCCACGCTGGGCCGCTTCGTATCGCGTCGCGGTTTGCCGGACCTGATACGGTCTGATTGCGGAACGAATTATAAGGGCACGGATAGATATTTGAAAGAGGTCGTCGAATTTCTGTCCTGCCACAGGACTTAATTAGATACTGCAATCTCCAAGATGGAAATTCGACCCTCCGGCTTGCACACACTGGGGTGGTATTTTTGAGGCGGTGGTTCCGTCGCGTTATTGGCGAAACTATTTTGACATTTGAGGAGCTTGCCACTGTATTCTGTAAAATTGAGGCGGTACTCAACTCTCGGCCCCTCTGTCCTCTCTCGGCCGATCCGAATGATTTGGAGGTTCTAACCCCGGAACACTTTCTGATTGGCTAGCCGCTTAACGCTCTGCCCGAGTACCCCTTCAGGGAAATAAATTCTTCGCAGTTGAGCAGATTTGACCTGCTGCAACAGATGACTCAGAGTTTTTGGCACCGATGGTCTCTGGAGTACCTACATCTTTTGCAGCAGCGCATTAAGTGGTCTGACAAGACGGATCCTCCTCGGGTTGGAGACCTCGTGTTAGTTAAAGAACCCAACGCTTTGCCTTTGTATTCGTAAATTGGGTGCCTAGGGTGGCCGAGGTTTTGGTCAGAGATTCGGTCTTGCAACGTGCCGTCGCGATCCTGTCCCGTTTGCCAATCTATTCGCGGACATAAGTCCTTATATCCGGGGCGGGGGTTTGTTTAGGCAAAATATTAACCGTTTGAAAATTGAATTCATAACGTACGCTCGGGGCGTGCATAGCACCGTAGCAAGGTCACCTCCGCCCCCCCGCGCGCTCGCATTCCATTCGAAGTCGTGTCGAACGGGACGTGTAGAGACATTCATTGTGAGGAACGACCGGTTGTACTCGTAAAAGACGTGTGTGGAATTATAACGTCGATTTAATTGCCTCTCATTTTTTGCGTTGTTTTTTTTTTGTTTGTTTTACGCGTCAACGAGGCTGAATTTTGAGTTTGAGCAATTAATTAGGGTCAAGTGGTATAGGGGTTGCATGCATAAGTGCATTCTGACAATATTAATTCGCGTCAACGAGTTGCTTTGTGCCATTTGATTTAACTCGGAGATATTTTCCTGTGTCGGTTAAAACCGCTAAACGTTGTGACCCGCGAGAACCAGCGTTCGTATTAGATTATAGATTTGTGCTAATGGACGCTAGACTTTGAGTGACACCGAGTGACGCCGCTGGAGTGATACCACATAGGGTGGCGGTGCTGGAGTCAGGGTTGCTGCTGATTAGAAAGGGCTAATTCAGGTTAAACATATATACACTTCTCACACACTACTTACATGCACCTACTTAACGCCTGAACGAGCCTTGTGGTCCTTCTTCGCCTCTGAACAGGTACGTACTATTTATTTACCTAGCTTTATCACTGTCGTGTAGGTCAACTTTCCATAAGGCCATTTGGGCCCCGTCCTTAGTTATCCGTCGAGTCTACAGCTGTATGGGCCCCTGTATAGTCGAGTTTTGTCGGGACAGCTAAGGGCGTGTACAATTTCTAGCACGTGTCGTATGGTAGCACAAAGTACATTCTGTACTAGACCCCGCAGACTGTAAGAAATTTGCCGGGCCGACCATCCGCTTTTGAGTTAGTAGTTCTAACTTCTAACGCTAGTGCATCCAAACTGGACATCAGAAAGAGTTGTCAGAATGTCGCAAAGCGCACTCTCCACATATTTTGTACAAGATGGCGCACACCAACAGAAATTTCTTTACGGATCTCAGACTAACAAAGAAAGAAAGACTTGCGCTGCGTATATTTCAAGCGATGAAAAACCAAGCCAAAACCATGATCAGCTTACTGTAAGCTAAAATAATTTGCTTGGTTGTAACATGATGGTTTTAGGTCATATATACACATATGGCATAAAACTTTTACTTTTATGGGCTGTTAAAGAAATAAAAAAGAAAGATGTGTCCGTGAGTGCGTGTCAAGAAGTTGGACATGGTTTTTTATCATCATCATCATTACAGCCCATCACAAGTTCACTGCTGAACTTAGGCCTCTCCTAAGGAATGCCACAAAGTACGGTCCCGTGCCACCTTTATCCGTTGACTTCCTGCATGTCTTACACTTCGCCTGCCGGTACGAGGCTCCCACTCAAGAACCTTTCTTTCCCATCGGTTGTTGGTTCTTAGAGTTATTGCCATTTCAGCTTATTAATCCGTTGGGTTATGTCGGTTACTCTGGTGGTTGGTATCCTTGTTTTAATTCTATCACGCAAAGAAATCCCGAGAATAGCCCTTTTCATAGCTCGCTGAGCAACCTTGAGCTTCCTCATACGACCAGCAATGAAGGACCACGTCTCAGATGCTCAGATAGTTCATCACTGAAACGTGGTCCTTCACTGCTGGCCGTATGAGGAAGCTCAAGGTTGCTCAGCGGTTTTGCATCATGGTTTTTACGGGACAAAGAGAATATAACCACTACGTTTATTACGGGACTTGAAATTTACGCAGCGCTCCTTCAGTCTTTTTTTTTTGTCAGTTACGAATCTGCACAAATATCCATACAATGGAATATTGGTGATAAATAGGATTGCCCAAACAAAATTTCTGACTGAGCGGGGTTTGAAAGTTTCTGACAAAAAAATAACAAAGTTCTGCCGACCTTAACCATTAGGCTGCTGTCAATTAAAAGTTTTGGAGATTTGTGTCTAATGGTAGACCTTTTTTTATTTGAACTGTTTGTAGGCTCAAACTTCAAATATTACATAAAACTTCATATCTTAGAAGTTCATCTTTGCGGAAATTGCGGTATATTTAAATATGTGAAATATAACAGCTTGAAATTATTTGACTCACTGCTAGACTAGTCTAGCAGTGGCTAAGGCTAAGTGGCTAGTCATCGTAGTCTATTTCTCCTAATAATGCCTCACTAAGAGGTACAAAACATGTCGTATTATGGACGATGTTTCCTAGTATTAGGTTTAGTGGTAGAAGCGACAGTGCATAACATGCAGTTAGTAAGAAGAGGACCTTTTCAGACTAGGCAATACATACAATCTTAACTAATTAATAATTCATTCAAAGGTTTTGTATAAAAAATATTATTAGAGAAAAAATTAATGCATGGCTTATTCTAACCCGTGGGAATGAGAAGATCGCTTGCAAATTGTCTCTAAAAAGGGATTTATTTACAATTAATTGTACATCCGTTTTGTGGTGATTGTGAAAACGCGTTTCGTCATGGTTCCCCTCAGGACGGAGGTTTTTTACTGAACTAGTTAGAAAAAGTAAAAAATTACCTTAATTTTTAAATTACAGGTAATTTTTTACTCCATAATGAATAACAATTTATTCTATGTCATCACAAATCCACCCTATTGAAAGTCCACTGCTGAACGTAGGTCTCGCCATAGATTCCCACATAAGGGGAATATTTGCCGTAGGTGCCACGATTGGCAGGCGGGTTAGCAACTGCAGATTTTTATTTTTTATTGTTATTAGGAAGACACTGCTGCCCATCTCCTGGTTTGTTTCCTTCTGTCATCTTTTACAACACCCACGAGTCGAAATGGGGTAGTAGAATTCGCACACCGCCACAACAGATCGTTTATGTTATTTGTTGGGCGTTTACCTCGTTGTAACATGACACTAAGAGAAATCTAATATTCCGTATATCTATGTCCTTTCCGTAGGTATCGCGATGTTATTCGACATTCCCGACGAACGCGGAGGTGCGGCCATGGTTGAGAGGTGGGGAAATCCCAACACTTGCCACTTCCCTCTGCTGAGTTTCATACGGGCGGTGCCGATGCCTCACATGGCGTTTGTGTTTGCTGGACTATGGTGTGGTAATGAAAATTTCTTTTAAATGGATGTATTGCTTTGACAAAACTCGTTATGTTTTAGTTTGATACTTATTTTATAAATAATACTAAATTAGTCTCATTTTTGACGGTTCCGTGGCGCAGTGGCTTAGCAATGAGTTGCTGCGCTGGAGGCCGCGGTTTCGAATCCAGCACGGAACAGGTATTTGTATGGCCTATAAGTAATTGTTCCTAATTTGGATATTTGTAAACTGCCCCCATGATACAAGAGAAAATCCTAGTGTGGAGGTAACGTTCTTTTTTTAAAAGAAAAAACCAAAAAGTTTTCATACTTTTTATTTAACCCATAAAAGTATTTTTCGTTTGGAAGGCCAATTAAAGATCTCAGCACCAGACGTCACACACCTTTGATGCTGCTGCCCTTCGCCGGTCTTTTTTTTGGTGGCGATGAAGCACTAGATGGTTAATTGCGCGGTCTACGCGTAACAAAAGCCTATTCACTCTTACCTTGAAGGTGCCCATATTGTAATCGGACGGAAAGACAGATGCTGGCACATTATTCCACTCTTTAGCTGTAGCTAGAGTAGAAATTAGGAAAGACGAAGCAAACCGTTTAATTAGGATGAGTATGGGAATATTGGCAATATGAGGACTAGTCGACGCCCTAGTTCTCCGGTGATGTAAAGGGTAGGGAGGAATAAATTTGTGATGGATTCTCTTACGTCGCCAATACAAATCATTATACTTGTAAGAGCCATGTTGTAGCTATATTGTGGTTGTAGCACGAATGTGTAGGGTCGACCGGGGAAAGACTACGCTCTCAAAGAATACCATCTTTAAAGCAGCTTAATGCTGCTGTGAGAACCGGGGACCCTTTTTACTGGATATGAAACATTCCATCTTAGTCCTCAGGGGTGACAATACATCTGCATTTTGATTCTTACTCGGAGATAGATGAAGATGTCTATGGGACACAGTATCCACTTACCATCAGGTGGCTGTGTTGTCTTTTGTCGCCCTTATTCTTTAAAAAAAAACTCATTCGTGAGGGAGTAACAAAGATGTTACTGTGTACAGTGACGGCGCCAGAGAATCCTACACCATCTTTCTTTCTGTGGAAGCGATTATGGGAAATGCAGATAGGTGTTATGTCTTCCGATTGTAATAATAATAAATAATGCGTTTATTTCGGTAATCTTGTTTGCAACATATTGCTGAGACCCAGTGAGTAATCACGCTACTTCCCTTAAGGATGACAGTAATATTACAAAAAGCCTCTAGAAAAATTGTAATTAGTACGTGTATATTAAGGAGTATGTGAATGTGAGTGTGCGAGTGTAGGGGTGTTGTTATATGTATGATGTGGGGGTGTGTGTATGTGTTGGTGGATGAAGAAAGTATAAGTAAGAAGACTAGTTGCCTTGCAAAACATAATTTCAATGATCCAATATGAAAGACAGCATACTCGTAGCTTTAAATGTAAAATGTTGGTGAGATACATATTAGACAATTCTAGTTAAAAGATCTTCAATTTCGTCACAAGTAACTGTATCCAATTTGGAGCTACGATCGCCAAATCGCTTGCCAAAGGTGGCAAATTAAGGAAACTCCTCTCTAAAACGGGAGTGGTGCATATCCAGGAGTAGACTTTAACGGGCTAATGAAGTATAAGAAGTTCGAATTTATTTTTATGTCAGCACAACTACTTTCACTTTGTTCCCGTCTCTTTTAATAAAGTAAAAAGTTACTTCAGTAACGATGCGGTCACAAAGTACCGTCAACAGCAGGTGAATCTTTTCTTTAGACCTTCAACGATTGGGTTAAATGGTCTATGATTTTTTTAATGCAAATGGTATCTTGTGAAAATTTTACTATCAGAAACACATTTAATAGAACTATCATATTTTTTAAATAGCGAAGTTAATAAAATAAAAATATATAAATAATAAAATAAAAGCGATAAAATCCGAAAAAATAGTTTTATTCAATGTCTAGTTAGCGTTCGCGTAAATATAAGAAATCATTGTAGCAGAAATATAGTTTTATCTTTATAAATATACACCATTCATCTACAACAATAATTGAAATAAACAGTATAGGTATAACAATAAGAATTTTTATTGTTATGACTCTGAGAAGTTTCAACAAACTCATGGTTAGGGGCGAAGATGGTAATGAGGGCCCATAAAATGAAATTTATTTATCTAGGCTATCAATATTTCTGTATTTACTCTGGTCTTTAATTTTCTTTAAAACTTTAATTATAGAGTTGTAGATTTTGATCATAATTAAACTTTCAAAAAAATATTAAATTTGACCACCACTACCCTGACATGCGTATAATCTTAACATCGTGCAGGACAATGAGAGTCACTCCATCTTTAGCAACTGTCTCTTGGTAAAATCCATCTGGGCCAGTGTGCATGATCGGCAGTATCCGTTCGAATTGTTTTTGTACCATAATATATTGTAAAATGACCAAACTCTTTAATAATCAACAGCTGTTTGCAGTATCGCTATAAACGTTACCTTATGGTACCCTGACTGCGTTAATCAAAAGGCAAGGCGTAGTGAAGAGTGCACGCCTTGCAATACATAACGCAGTGTTGGTACCGACTTTGTTATATGGCAGCATAAAAGCAAGTTGAATGCAGTGGAGATGCGATCTCTTCGTAAGATGTGCGGCGTTACCATGGCCGACCGAAAGCGAAACGAAGAGATTCGCAATATGGCAGGTTTGAAAGATGACCTTATCACAAAAATTGATAAGGGCGTGCTTCGGTGGTTTGGGCACGTTGAGCGAATGAGTGAAGACCGAATGGTGAAGAAAATATATAGCGCGAAAGTTAATATTAAAAGGTGTCGAGGTAGACCGAGACTAACTTTCGAAGACCATGTGAGCAAATTGCTCGAAGAGGGTAGGGTCAAGAGTACTCGGATACCTAGACGTGCATGTATGAAGAAGATAATGAATCTGAAAGAAGCGAAAGAGGTATGTAAGGATCGTGACACTTAGCGATCTGTTCTCTCTGGCTACCCCGTCAGGGATTGTGCGTGAAGATAAGTAAGTAAGTAAGTTATACGATTACAGCGACCTAAAACCGCTGATTAATAATGATGGTAACCTAATAACACATTTCTATCCACAGGACCGTTGATTACTCGTAAAAATAACCTAATAACACATTTCTATTCACGGAACCGCTAACTAATAAATGTAGTGTAGTGTTGCAGATGTTCATGGGCGGCGGTAGTCACTTACCATCAGGTGAGCCGTATGCTCGTTTGCCCCCTCTCCTATAAAAATAAATAAATAATAAAAGTAAACACATTTCTATTAACAGGACCGATGATTACTAATAAAAATAACCTAATAACACAATTCTATTCACAGGACCGCTATTTTTTTTATAGGTTATGGCTGACAAACGAGCACACAGTCCACCTGATGGTAAGTGGTTGCTGCGGCCCATAGACATCTACATCTATCCTCTATTACAAATCAAAATGCAGATGCGTCTTCACCCGTGAGGACGAGGATGGAATGCCTCATTTCCAGCTAACTAATAAATGTAACCTAATAACACATATCTATTCACAGGAGCTTTAGGAATCGCCCTGGGCTACAAGTTTCGACTGAGTTCCATTATGTTCACCGTTTGCTTCTGGTATTTGTTGCTGATAGAGAAGAGCTATTGGAACAATCACAGTTATCTATTCGGACTCATCGGCTTGCTGCTTACCTTTACACAGGCGAACTGTTGTTGGTAAGATAAAAAAGAAGTGTTTTATGTCTGTTATATATAGAGAGCTATCTTAAATTTCAAACCAGTTGTAAATTTTATAAGTTTGTAAGAGCTAAAGTAGATTTGTAGACTATATACGAGTAGACCTACTGCTACGAGCAAGCCTCCTTAAAAGGGCTTGAAAAAAGTAAAAAAAGTTCGTCGTGCTATCCCAGTGTTTAAAAGATATGCAAGTGTCCTTACGGTGATTTGCTCTCACCGCCAAGCACGTAGAAATCTCTATACATATATATACATATATAATACACAGGGTTATTTTTCAAAAACCGGCTAAATTTGCAGAGGTCGTTCAGAATAGGTAATATAAGCGAATGTTGAAAAAAATTTCACAAGAAAAAACTGAAACATTTTATCCTTATTATCCTTTATATTCAAAATGTGTGGAAATACATTATTTTTATTGATTGACATTCATAAAATATGAAGAGCCTTCTTTTTTATACGCACTCACACATTCGTAAGGGAGTATTAGTTTGGAAACGTTCAGTGCTCATGCTCGGTTACAGATTTAGATATGTAATAGTTGTTGTTTTGACTCAGTAAAGAAAAACGCGTCTCCCCGGCTCCTCGCCCTTTCCCTTACTTTACACCGCTCGACGCTGGGTACGTTCATCTGGCCGACCGACAGTGTTAACTTGACCAAGTGTCCTATTTTTAAATGTTCGTCGGTAGTATTACTTGTCATTTAGATTATATGAAAGTGAGTCTTTACCCCGTTTGCAAAGACAAGGAAATAACATGGGAGCACAACCCTATCGGAGTGTCTACCAAACCAAATGCTGTTAGCCTTTGAACAGTTCACCACTCCGTCACACGGAAGTGCTCGAGGTGGTCATTCAATAAGAAGCCCGGCTGTCGAAAACACAGTGATCGAGTTTTTCGAGTGAAACCCCCGCGCTAGCAACAATGACTGCATCATTAGACATTTCAGGGTTAGCCAGTATTACACGTGGAAACTACTGAATTCTTCTAGATATCACTCATTTCATTACCAACGTGTGCAAGCATTGAATAATACCGATTGCCTATCTCGAAAAAAAATTGTGAATGGTTGATGTCAAAATTGATAATACTAATATATTACATATGTGGACTGACAAAGCCCTATTTACGCGTTCGGCTTTATGATAGTCGTAACGAACATTACTCTACTGTATGCACCCACAGTTATGACCATCAAGTGCGATATTTTTGATAACATAATTATGGGCCCGTTCTTCATTGAAAGACGATTAATGGGTGGTAATTATTTGGACATGTTACAAGGTGTTATTCAAGATTTCCTAGATGGTATAACCCTAGTGTTACTGAATAAAATTTATAGTGCTCCGCCTCACTATTCAGGTGCAATGCGTTATTATTAGTGACCGACCGAAGATTCGGTTTCGGTTTCGATTTTGGCAAAAAATCTAGTTTCGGTAATAGTTTCGGTTTCGGCAAAAAACCTGCCGAATCTTCGGCGGCGCCGAAACTCAGTGTTCGTGGATTATCGTGCGTCGTTCGGATGAGTTCGTGATTCGTATATTATTCATAATTATACAGAAAGAGAATCTTTTTTATTCAATATAGATTGTAAATAATACTTATTGAAAGTCACTCTTTTGTTTAATTACCACTGGTTCGAAAAAAAACCTCTGTCCTTGGAAGAACCAGCAAGAAACCCAGCGGGACTTTTTTTTTTAAATAACAGCTTACAATCAGAGGCGTAGCCTGGACTAATATAAACGAGCGCGAAGTTGCATCAGCGAGGCCCCTTTTCTTTCGTTCTATGGGTCTACCGAATAGATCTATCCTACCTAACATGCATTGACACGACCTACGAGGGCGACACTGAAAATTTTTAGAACTGCCCACTTGTAAACGATATAATAAAAAAATAAGTTCAAATTTTGAAAATGGAACTCTTTGTCAATATTATTGTGTATGTATTTTATTAATTTTTCATTTGTTTACAATTTGGCGGCAAATTGAAAATTGTCTATGTCTCATATGTATCTCAGCATGTATTTAACGCGAGAAAATTTTCGTAAACTGATTTTTTATGAATTTCAATGTTATTTAAGTCAACAAAAAAGATATGATAGACTTCCATTGGCCTTTCACGATGCAGTCCCATCTCGTGCCACTGTTTATAACTGGTTTAATGAGTTTAAACGTGGTCGCACTAATCTCACCGATGATCTGAGTGAGGGACGGCCATTGATTTAGTCTTGTATAACTCAATGGGGACAGCCTTCTACGGTGACGACTGAAGATAACATCAGTATTGTGCGGCGTGTGATAGAGAACGACAAAAAAGTGACTTATCAGCAGATTTGGACAAGATAAGGCATCGGTATGAGTCAAGTGCACAAAATCCTCCATGAATATTTAGCAGTCAGGAAGCTTTGTGCCCGGTGGATACCTCATAACTTGACAGAGGCCCAAAAACTCCGTCGTGTTGATTGATGTCGTGAAATGGTTCTAACATTTAATGGATGTGACTTAAAGGGAAAAAGATCGTGGCCTCGTTCTTCGGAAGGACAGGTCATTACGCAACAATTGTTTTAGCGGATTGAAAAACAGTTACTGCAGAGTGCTACACTAACAATTGTTTGCCATTTGTCTTGGAAAAAGTTCTGGAGAAACGACCTCGCAGTAGGATCCTCCTTCACTACGACAAAGCCTCGTCGCACACTGCCAAGCAAACAATCGATTACTTGGTGACGTCAGACGTGGAATTACTGGGCCATATAGCACCGACCTCGCACTTTGCGATTTTTATTTATTTCCGAAAATAAAAGAAAAACTTCTTAAAAAAGATGTATATGGACACTATTTTGAAAAGATAAGAGTAATAACTTGCTAGTTTGTTCAGTTTTTTATTTTTTAAGAACTTTAAGTGTTATTCTCTTACCTACTCATATCTATTAATTCCTGACAAGTCTCGTATTCCGTCAGTGTAACAATCACGGTCTTTGAAGGTAGTTTCAAAGGCCTCGCAGTCGCATTTAAGGGGGCTTCTAGCGAGGCCCCAAACCATTCATTACAGCCCTTCACAAGTCCACTGCTGAACATAGGCCTCCCCCAAGGAACACGTAGCTACGCCACTCTTACAATCATGTATGTAAGATAATTAACAACAAAAAAGAAATTAGAAATAGTTTGGTTGTGATCACCAAAGTGGGGTTATTATCATCCATAAATTCCTTGATATTATAATAACGCTTTTTATACAAACTTAGTTTATTAAAGTTTTTGAACTTTGAGCAGGTTTTGTATATTTTCTGTGATTTTGTTAAGGTGTGTGTATGTGTATTGTGTGTGAGTGTGATATATTAAGTAAATGCTCTCATTGAATAATATTAACAATATTGTGTACACAATAAAATATGTTCTCAATTAGCGAGCAACTTTTTATGGGTGTAAGTGTTGATTTTTTTACAAAATTGACTTAAAAAATTATTTCTTAACATTAAATTGTTGATTTTTACTTGAAAATAAATAAATATATTGCTGTATGACTATTACAGTTACTGTTTTTCATTAACATGCATTACCTATCTGTATATGTATAAAAAATATAACAGATTTCAAAAAACAATTAAAAAAAATGAACATGTCTAAATAAGGTTCGGTTTCGGTTTCGGTTTCGGTTGAAAATCCTGTTTCGGTCGGATACTAGTTATTATACGAAGATAGGTGGATTGGGCGTGGCGGCCCTATATCATGGCCTGCACGGTCACCGGACCATACAACATTAGACCTTTTATTTATGGAGTGAAATATAGGGTGTTTACGTCAAAGAGGCCCAAAGCTACTAAAATAAGCTATTAAAATAATAGTAAGTTTACGTATTGCGACACCCACGAGACAATATGGGGTGATGGTTTCTCTAAAAGCAGCCACCACACGGCTTAAAATTATATAATACCAGGTGGCCCATAAGTCGTTAGAAATGTAAATTTCGAATAAAATACAAAAGGCGCGCATGAGTGGCGCGCGCGGTGCGGGGGGAGTACCGACGGTTTCTGGGAATTCAGTCGCCATGGAGCGTTTCACCGGTGCGGACCGTGCATTTTGTGTGCGCGAGTTTTATCGAAACAATGATTCGGCTACCATTGCGCGGCGTAAATTTCGAGAATATCAGAATTTACGCAACTTTAAAGACATTCCAAGTGTTCAAACGATTAAGAACTGGGTTATTAAGTTCGAAGAGAGTGGTTCGACGTTGGATAAACAACGGTCAGGTCGACCAAGGACATCACGGACGGAAGAAAACATCGATGTAGTGAAACACTCAATTCGTGAAAATCCTACCCAGTCTACTCGTAAGCGTTCCAGTGCATTAAACTTACCCAGAACATCGTTACAGCAAATTTTAAAGAAAGATTTACAACTTCACCCGTACAAGATTCAGTTAGTACAGGAATTAAAAGATACTGACACTATCCACAGACTAAATTTCGCAAATGAAATGTTGAACCGCTTTACTTCGTTTAATAACGTGTTATTCTCTGATGAGGCTCACTTTCACATCAACGGCCATATCAATAAGCAAAATTGTCGCTACTGGAGTTGCGAAAATCCAAATCGCAAACATCAAAAGCCCTTACATAGCCCTAAAGTGACAGTTTGGGCGGCTATGTCAGCGCATGGCATTATAGGCCCTTACTTTTTTGAGGACGGCAGAGGCCGCGCGCTTACTGTTACTTCACAACGGTATGTAGCTATGATCCAGGACTTTTTTACACCAGAGTTGCAGAATTTTCCAGGCTTCAATACGCGGACCTGGTTTCAACAAGATAGAGCAACTGCCCATACCTCTAACGTCGCTATGCCGGTCGTCCGTCAACTTTTACCTAATAAAATGATCTCTCGAAGAGGAGATATTCCTTGGCCACCACGTAGTCCAGATCTGACCCCAATGGACTTTTCTTATGGGGTTATCTTAAGACTAAAGTGTACAAAACCAACCCGCGGACAATTGACGTCCTGAAAGAAAATATCCAAAGAGAAATGGCAAACATTACAGAGCTTACTTGCCACGCAGTGATGGATAATTTTAAACGTCGCTTACAGGAGTGCCGCGATCGTAACGGATTACATTTAGGTGATGTAATTTTCAAAAAATAATTCCCATTTTATAAGGATTATGACAAAATAAAAACCTTTTTCATAATGTCATTAGTTTTTTTTTAATTATTTTTTTACATTTCAAGGGACTTATGGGCCAGCCTGTATAATATAATTTTTGGTTTTTGATCTTTACAAACGAATTTACGGTTGACCTGTAAGTAAGTGAATACTACATACAGCTTATGAATACCTATAGCCAAATTCATACAAAGAAGAAAGATACGTTGTCACCTCTGAGGAATAAGATGGAATGCCTCATAGCCTGTTATACACACTTTACCTTCTGACCTGAATACATCAGCATGGGTACTGCTGCTTAGCGGTAGAAATAAGTAAGAGGGTGGTGTCTTCCCAGACAAACTCTTAGGCGGAAAAGGTTGTGTGCATATTAAGTCTCATATGTCTAAAATTAACTAGAATTAAATAAAACAATCAAGCTCGTTATGTAATTAATATATTTTGACCAGGTCCTTGGATGCCTATTTCGATCGTTCTCAAGCAAAGCAAACTGTACCTTATTGGAATTACTTTATTTTGAAATATCAGTTCTTCATCCTCTACTTCATGGCTGGGTTAAAGAAAGGCACTGCGGAATGGTTGACTGGTTATTCAGTGCTAAACCTTAGTGAGCATTGGGTGTTCGCTCCTTTTAAGTAAGTACAATAAAGTTATATTAAAAGCTATCAATTAGTGAACAGAAAAACTGTTAAACCTTTTAGCGAAAACTTTTAAGATATATTTTATACGTCTATCTTGTTCATTGTCATTTCAGATTGTTTCTTACGGTTCCTCAAACGGATTACTTGATCGTCCATTGGTTTGTGTTCGCATTTGATCTGACAGTAGCCATCTGGATGATGTGGGCGCGCACCCGCCATGTTGCTATGCTCTTCTGCGCCCTCTTCCATTTGATGAACAGCAGACTTTTTAGGATTGGTTTGTATTATAACACGTTTTTATTAACTCGCTTTCTTGACTATTTGTTTATTTAATTGGCACGTTTGGCACTACTATTGTAAAGATATATAAAGGCGCACTATTGCCTAACACACCGAGAAACAGCTGAAATAATTTATCAGTTACTTCCACAGCATATTGAAACTATTTTTGTTTTGCGGAGGAGGGTCATAAGATCAATTTATTATATAAAGCCTAAATAATACTTAAAGCTGGTTGTTCCTGTTTATATCTGTTTTAAAATTGGTTTTGATAGCCAAATTATTACATTTAGAATCCGGAAAAATATATATTTGACATACATTCTTTCTCCTTACGATGGACCTGGTCAATACACGATACAATACAATTTTCTCGATAGAAAAAATTACCAAAGTACGTGTGATTTGTAACTATATTGGTTCGGTACCAAAATTCCATTTTAGCAAAATTTCATTTTTCATTACATTTATTAAAAAAATTATCGATTATTTAAATGATTTTCGATCGCTTGCCAGCTCGCTATCGCTACTTGCCAGCTTGCCACCGCGAGCGACTCATTCCATAGCGAGAGAGGTGTGTCAGTATCGCGCCAAATGGAAGTCCGTAGTCTCTGCCTACCCCTGTGGGTGACAGGCGTGAGTGTTTGTGTGTGTGTGCTTATAGAAGGTATTCTATACACATGTCATACATTTGTAAATATATTAATACAGACGTACACACAATATACATATACATCTGTGTCATGATAAACAAGGAAAAACGAACTTTGGTTTTAAAAAGAAACTTGTTGGAAGCTCTTTTAATGTCAAGAGGTATTTCGTTCCAGAGTCTTTTAGCCGTAAAAGCGAAAGAGTGGGACATATCACCAGTACAGTGTAAAGGTGTTACCAACTTTAGATTATCCGAAGAACGGAGAAAACAATTATGAGTATTTTCTAGGTACTGAAATTTAGATATCAAGTACTCAGGAGCACAAGGATCGTTCAGGATAGTGAAAAGAGTGCAGAGTATTCTAACATATCTTTTTTTTTATAGAATAAGGGTGACAAACGAGCACACATTCCACCTGATGGTAAGTGGTTGCTGCGGCCCATAGACATCTACATCTATCCTCGCATGCGAATCAAAATGCAGATGCGTTGTCACCCGTGAGGACTAAGATGGAATGCCTTATTTCCAGTAAAAAGGGCCTCCGGCCACCTGCACTCACCAAGCGAAGCACAGAGGTAAACCTCTACTTCACGCTGGTATTCTGTGAGGTCGTGGTACCACCCCGGTTCGAGCCGGTGACAGCAAAAGCTGCCGCGTGGCTCTAATCGGGGTGGTACCATCTATTCGTCATCTGCGCTGACGAATAGGCAGCCTGTTAAACCGAGTACGAAAAGATGATACATGGTCATATTTACGAAAACCATAAATGTATCTGACGCAGTTATTGAGGAAACGATTCATACGATCAACGATTCAAAGTGTTAAGACACTATTGAGATAAGTCTGTGCATCACACATCTACATAGTCTATTATCGGCAGAATAAGAGATTGAACAAGCAAAACTTTTATAGCGGTAGGACGAAAATGTTTCAGGCAATAAAGAGATCGCAATGTTGCAGTCACTTTGCGGCTTACCTCCTGGATCTGCTTGTTCCATGAAAGACAGCCATCAACGTACAGGCCGAGATTCTTAACATGTGGAGGGTATGGGATAGCATTGTTGTTGTACGAAATAAACGGCAAAGTCGTGATATCTAATTTTCATAAGTATAGCTACCTAAAATGATGGCTTGACTTTTGGAAGGATTCACGTAAATTCCAAACACAGTGGACCATTCAAAGATATAATGTAAATGTTCGTTGGGTAACGCTATTGAATTATTAATATTGGATGGTTCCGCTTGTTCAGTGACCTTGAGAAGGGCGGTTGTAATCTTGTTTTTGAAAATAAAAGTAGAAATTTGTTTGTGAGCAACATTTTCTAAAACTTTAGATAAAAATTTTAAGGTAGAAATTACCAGATGGAAGTTAGAGTAGAACATTCTTTTTTTTAATTGAACTGTATGCCAATTAATTGCTCCATAAATGCTCCAGCAGAATCCGAAATTGCTCCACATATATTGTTATTGGTTAATTTATAATTAATAAAAAAAAATTAAGTATCGAAAATTTAATTTTGCTATAAAACATAAAATATCAATTTTTTTAAATTAAACTGTATGCCAATTGATTGCTACTTAAATGCTCCAGCAGAATCCCAAATTGCATTACCTCTATTGCTATTAATTAATTTATAAATAATTTAAAAAAAAATTAAGTATCGAAAATTTACTTCTTAAGATCGAATTTCGGTCACGGAGGCCAGTTTCAGCGGAGACGCGTCATCTGCGCATACAGAATTATAGAGCAGTGTGTGCGTAAGAACGGATGCACTCTCTATATTCTCTCTTTCATAGCTCAATGTTACGGCAATCCGACACCTGGAGAGAGATCAGGCACAGGACTAACTGCTTTACTTGCTCTCCAAGATACGTGGGTGAAGCACCGCCTACTTCCTGATTCCGGGCTGCAACTGAGAAGTTCTTGACAAAAAAAAATCCAATAACTGAAGATCGGCTCGACTTGGGATTCGAATCCGGGACCACATGATGAGCAATCGCGCTTATTTTTATATTATTACATATTTTTTTACCTATTAGGTCAAGCTTCATAGTCCGCATACGCAAGACAAAGTGGCAGAGTGTGCTATTCGGTCTTCTGTAGTAATTTTCCGAAGAATGTATGGGATCTATGGTACTAGAGCCTTTTCGGATACCGGCTTATTCGGGATGTTGGTAGTCGTTGAGTCTGAATGCGAAACGATTTTTAATGACTCTCGAAAACAGCACGTAGACGTATCTCAATAGCGAAATCAGTCCGTAGTTCTTCAAGAAAATATTTTGCCCTTTTTGATGAACAAGACCACCGCGTTTCTGCTCCACAGCTCCGGAGTAGTCCCACCGTGGAGAACGGAATTAAAGACATTCTGAAGGACTTCAAGTACTGGGTTTCCATCCACTTTCAGAAGCTCCGATGTAATTCCATCCTCGCTTGCGCCTTACCGTTTTTAAGGTGCTGGAGAGCCATTCTAATCTCGACGTCCGTGGTATCACCGGAATAATGTCGGATAAGATTTGTTCTTGGATCGTTACTCACACTTGCGTGTGGCTCCAACGATGACGTGTACAGCTGCCTATAGAACCTCTCCATCTCACTCAGTATCAGGTGTCCCAGAAACGATGTTTCTGCCTTCAGCTTCGAAAGTTGGTTCTTTCTGGCAGACAGATCTCTGGCAAAGACTTTGGATCCCTGGTTCCGCTTGATCGCTTCTTCAATACGAGCTGTATTTAAGTTGCTTTGCGGAGATTTGTCTGTTCAAATGCCTGTATGCTATCAAATTTGCTGAAGACTGCAGCTTCATCTCCCGTCTAACAGCCATGAGATTAAGAGAGTGATCAGAGAGTTTTTGTGTTCTTCTGCGCTGGGTCTTGCAGTACTTAGCTCTAACCGGATGAACAGTTGGAGCGTTGACGTCATTAGATGTGACCTCTCCAACTTCCTTCGAACCTCTACCAGAGATTCTTAGCACCCCTGCTCCGACGTTACCATGGCCACCAACGTAGCCAGGAATAGCGGGGCTGCTGGGGACTTAAAAAATAAAAAAATATAAAAGGGCTTTTCGATGCGATAGTTATCAAATTGAGTTTTTAGAAGAAATGCTAACATTTTCCAGAAACTTAAAATCAATAAGAAGTGATAGGCAGAAAGACGTTACAAATAGCATGAATTTCATTCACGGATTTCAAGTGTCTATAAAATCTTTAACTTCTAAAATCTAAAACTTTATGAAGAATTAAAATGAGAAGAAATTAAATTAATTTATATTCACGAGACGTCTCAATCTAGATTATCTCGAAAATTTCTTTGAAAAAGTCAGACAGGCGGGTGGTAACTGCCAGGAACCAACATATGTTTATAACCAATATCTTAGGGAAACCTCAAAATTTTAATTGTGAATACGATTTCGATATGTTACTTATGAAACCAGACGGTTGTCATATTTTAATACAACATCACCGCAACCTGACGATGTTGCTGCCCCTGTGTTAACTGTAGGAACAAATGATTATCTATTTGATTTACCAGAAAAGAAAATGGTTTAGTCTATGTGTCGGGATATTTGTATAGAAAATGTTGTCTTGAACATCATCATCATCATCATCATTACAGCCCTTCACAAGTCCACTGCTGAACATAGGCCTCCCCCAAAGAATGCCACAAAGCACGGTCCTGAGCCACCTGCATCCATCGACTTCCTGCATATCTTACCAGGTCGTCACTCCATCTAGTGGGGGGACGCCCTACACTTCGCCTGCCGGTACGAGGCTGCCACTCGAGAACCTTTCTTCCCCATCGGTTGTCGGTTCTTCGAGCTATATGGCCGGCCCATTGCCACTTCAGCTTACTAATCCGTTGGGCTATGTCGGTCACTCTAGTTCTACTGCGGATATCCTCATTTCTGAGTTTATCACGCAGAGAAACTCCGAGCATAGCCCTCTCCATAGCTCGCTGAGCGACCTTGAGCTTCCTCATCCGGCCAGCAGTGAAGGACCACGTCTCAGTTCCGTATGTCATCACTGGCAACACGCACTGGGTGTACAGTCTCGTTTTCAAGTTTTGAGGTATACCTGACGAGAAGATGTGCCGTAATTTCCCGAACGCTGCCCAACCGAGTTGAATCCGTCGATTGACCTCTCGGTCGAAGTTGGACTTACCTAGTCGGACTATTTGTCCCAGGTAAACATACTCGTCAACAACTTCGAGCTTAGTGTTCCCAACAACTACCGGCATAGGTGTGACATGGACATTAAACATGATCTTTGTTTTGTCCATGTTCATCTTAAGACCTATCCGTTGGGAAACACTATTGAGGTCATTGAGCATAGTGCTTAGGTCCTCCAGCGAT